TCAAGGGGGATTTGTTGGGTTTTCCCTTTGTAATAGTAGTGATAACAGTAAGGTCTAGACCTTACTTTGTAAAGTGTCCTGAGATGACTTTTGTTGTGATTTGGCACTATATAAATAAAATTTGATTTGATTTGATTTGATTTGAAGCCATTTATTATGTACAGTTACTTACTTTAGTTGTGGAGAGCCGCCCATAGCCAGGTTGTCCTGAGTGGGCTTCTGTGGGGGCTGAGGCTTTTGCTGCAGTGGGGTTCGTCCTCCTGGGCCCCCCTGGCCTTGAGCAGCAGGTCGGGGCTGCTGGGTGGTGGGTGCTCCAGAACGACTTTGCTGGCCAGGAGCCCTTTGCTGTTGTGGACTCCCCTGTGACTGCTGCCTCTGGGGCTGGGCAGGCCTTTGCTGGCCTGGACCTCCTGTAGAGGGTTTCTGCTGCTGAGAGACAGACTGTTGCCTCTGAGCTTGCGGGGAACCTCCCTGGCTTCGCTGAGGAGAGCCCTGGCCAGAAGGAGGCCTCTGACCTTGAGGAGCTCCCTGACCGGGTGATCGTGGCTGAGCTGTGGGTCCTTGATTAGCCTTAGTCTGGGTACTGGGGTCACCTGTAGCAGGGCTGGTAGCAGATTGCTGGGTCTGTGCAGGAGGCTGGCCTTGAGGCTGTGGGCGCTGCTGAGGTGGCGGACTTTGTTGAGGACCACCTAAAGGACAAAAACAAAGGCAGCATTCACATTCAAACATTATCCCTCCTGGACTTAGGAAGAAAGAAATGAAAATGACTTCTACACAAAACAAATGGCACATTTACTTCAGTGTTTCATTATTGTGAAAAACTCAGTTAATACCCTGAGGTGAAGGTCGCTGTTGAGCCTGTGGTACTCGGGGTTGTGTGACAGGCTGAGGTGAAACTGCTTTCTATCAACACAAAGGAGTTAAAAGGGCAGGAAGAAAAAGTTTATCAAATGAGGCAAAATGCTAATAATAGAAAATATTCAGAGAAACTAAAGAGCATGTTAAACTGGTATTGATGCACATAATAAATTGGAATGATTAATGAAAAGCCAGATATAGGTGTTTATCTTAATAAACACCTATATCTGTATTTTATTAATTTCAATATGAGTTAGGCTCTAGGTCCAAATTTATTTTTGTGCTTTGTTTACATGTTCTCTTTTAAAGTAAGTGTCCAGCTGAAATTGAAATGGCCCTGACTTGACATATATTACTATTAAACGTGGCTGGAGAAAATAAAGAAATCTGAGAGATTACTCAGGGAAAGATGAGAAATTATGCATATGTGTGGTCTGCGCACCTGTGCTGGCTGTCCGGTGGCAGCACGGACTGTGGAGGAACTTGAAGTTTGTGGAACAGTCTGGCTCAACTTAGAAATCACCAGTTCTGCAATCTGAACACGATCCTCGTCTTGCTGGTCCCCAATCAGCGGCATTGAGCAGTCATCAACCTCAAAAACAATAAGATAATACATTTAATGGCTTTCCCTCACAATCACAGACAAATATTCTGTAATAATAGTTTAATGCCTTCTAGTACCTCTATAATGTAGTCCTTGCCATCTTTACCATGCAGAGCTTCCACAGCACAGATGTCTAAACCTCCAAAGATGTCAGCACACAAGTCCACCCACATTCTGTACCTGTAATAGCATGTTAAACAGTGCTATAATGGTACAGCGACACATTATATGATTTACAATTTCATCTTATCCACATCTATTATCCTTACTTGTCTGACATGGCCACCTGCTCAAGCATAGAGGAGCCAGTATTTGTTTTCCAGTTGCCAGAAATTGAGGTTCTCCTGTTAAGTAGAATAAAAATTGACTTTCTTTGTTTTACCATTTTCTTCCATGACATGCCAGTGTGTTGGTTCTTGCTTGTAAGTTTTTGTAACTGCATTTGCTGGAGTGAAATGCTGAGAACTGAGGAGAGTGCAATGCCTATTTCACTCACATGTAAGCCTTGTAATTATTACCAATCTTCTGGATGCGGACATCATACTTTGCATCAATAAAAGGCTCAGATGTGGCATAAGTCTTGGTCAGTGCCACAACACTTGCAATATCTTGAAAATCATACTGATTGTCCACTTTCACCTGGAGTCAAAATATACATATGATGACATACATTGGTCCCAGAACTATGGTGTTCATATTGGAATGAGTAAATATTTGAGCATCCCAGCACTACCTTTCCCATTCCTGAGTGAGCATGGCCCATCTTTACCACTACAGGGAATCGAGGGCAGGTAATCTGTAACAAGAGCATTAGCACATATTCAGATTTCTCATAAATAAACTTCTTCAAAGTATTACTACACTGCCAGTCAAAGGTTTGAACATTTTCTCTTTGAAATGAACAGGAAAGTACGTCCACCTTTGACTGGTGGTGTATATTGGTTAAAACATCAATGATCCATTTCGATCATTCAGAAGTGGCACATCGTAGAACTCCTCCTCTCAGTCTACAGGAAAGTCTGATTCATACTGATGCCTTGAAAGTCAGCCCAGTGCAGGAGTGGAGATGACTGCTCTGCAGTAACAGCCTCACTGTAATTGTACTGACACTGACTTTGAAAAAATAAAAAGACATTCCCCAGAAGATTTAACTGGTCTCAGTCATTACGTGAAATGGAATACTGACATGGAAGAGAACACCCTCCTAACATGTGACCATGTGTGTGTTTGTGAGGACTGGCTTCAGTTTTATACCATAGTGTTAGGAAACAGAGCTAGGGAATGCATTAGGGTTAGGAAACAGAGCTAGGGAATGCATTATGTCCTCACAAAGATAGCTACACAAACGTGCGTGTTTCTTTTTCTCTCTATTTAACATTGTAAGGTGCCCATCAGCACTAGTGGAAAGAGGGGGGACAGAGAAGAGGAGAGCAGATAGCAAAGAACTCACCATTTCCTTGTGGTTTGGATAGTAAACCTGTTCAATTAGGGGGAACTCCTCTGGGCCCAGTTGCTTGTGGAGTCTAGACATCTGAGCAAACTGAAATAGGCACAAATGTTTAGTATGTAGCTGTGTGTGTCCATACACCTTGATTCAATGTGTGATATTAGCAAATTATTTGATAAAATAGTACTTACCACCCAAGGTTTGTCACAGAAGTTGTAGACAGAATGCAAAGAGTTAACACTTGGCACTCCAGCATATTGCAGGCCAATGACTATGTTCCGGTGATCTCCATTCTTGTCCATGCTGAAAGCATGCTCCCTGACCAGAACAAAGTCTGGCTTGAAGGATCTGGAACAGAGGACGTTAGTAAAATATGAAACTGCACTCCGTTATTGGGCATTGAAAGAGAAAAGATTTCAACACAGGCCTTTAATGCATCTCATGAACAGCAACTGCAAATGAGTAGATTAAACATTTTACTGAGTACTCACTTAGTAACCTTATGTCCACTCCTGATTGCATTAATGTTCACATTATAGGTGCCTGTAGCATTTGCCACCATGTTGATTTCAGAGAATTCTGCCTAAAAAGACAATATCAAGGTAAATCTTCAACAAACACCATAAAAATCTCTGTGATCACAGTCAGAGCAGGGAGGCAGTGAATGACTATCTCTTCATAAGCCACAGTGAACAGGGTACAATTATAATATGGCAGACTTTACATCAGGTGTGTTCCCCCTGTTAACACACAAGTGAAATAAGAAAAAAGTGATGCAGTCAAAATGAGAACAAGAGAAAAACGCCTGAGGCAGAGGCTCAGAAATGGATTTTAGGATGTTACTAGCCACTCACACAAGCTGTATCAATATTATACTGTATATTATCACTATGTTGGTCACTTGTTAGGTTTGTCTGTCTGGGACTCTGTGAATGCTTCATCTGTTATATATTGAAGAAATCATCGTTTTTTTCTAGTACCAAGACAGCCTAAGATCAGTGCACCTAAAATGCAAGTCAGAAATTTGATAAATTTACCTAAAAAATGACTCAACAAGTGACTTAGAGATGACACTGCCTCAGACAATGAAGACATAAGCCCAAAAAGAGAAGGACAAAGAATGTACAGTATGGGCAGGGATATCAGCTAATAGCTGCTTATTCTTTGAGAAAATACTGACCAGCAGTAAATACAATCACATCATCCTATTGTAATATCAATGGTAATGCCTTCATCCACACAGAAAGGTAACCCCACGTTTATGTCTTTCACCAGGTCTTGACATATGTAGAAAGAATGATAATATCTCTCCGACTGAAGTTCACAGTTGGAGGGTTGTTTCTGGTATATGGCTCACTGAAGCTTGGCTGGTCTCTAAGCTCTTCTCACCATGTCCCTGTCCCCCCGAAAGGGAGTAAAGAGGAACACTCACATAGAACAAAGCAAAAAATGACTTATGTAAAACCTACCTGTTCTACCTTAATGTCAAATTCACCGTGGACCTTTCTTCCTCTGAAGACCTTCACCCTGAATGTGAAACAAGGAATCAAGTTGTTTGTTCTGAGCACCTATTACTGACCACTGAAAACACAATCTCACGTACATGAAAAAAGCAATGGAACAAAACTCTGCTTTCCATAGATGCGGTAACCCTGTCTGTGGCACTATGCTGCATAGCCTAATGTAATTGTGGGCAATGCACGCAGCTACTGTAAGTTAAGTAGCCTGTGTAATATTATTTATCCTATCTGGTGTATAAGGACATAAATACTGGTCTCTGCCTTTCACATCCACCCTACAAAGTATAAATATCTACACCTGCAACAGAGTAGAACCACACAGGATCTGTACTGTGGAATGAAATGGCTTTGATGTGATGATCACAGATCTGCCTACAGTAGCTCATTATCACCCAGGACGTTATTTTGAGACAAGTTTTATCACCTTTAAGGCAAAGCTCTAATAAGCAAACATTATTTGCACTGGTGAAGAGGCTTGACAAATGCATATGTATTTTTGTGCACAATTTACCCTTGATTTAAAAATATCTACATCGTCATGCTGACATTAGTTCACACCAGATTTTTTGGCAGAATTGTAATCGTTTTACTGGCAGAATGCAGAATGAGTTCGCCACAGGCAGTAGCTGATAGTCAAAATGAAAATGGCTTCTCTGTCTTCTGTCTGTTGCGTCTTTGCCATGGCACCATTAGCGCACATCACTTACGCAAGGGTTTTCTGATCTGAGCAAGAAACCCACGGGATGTTCCGCGTGTATTTAATAGCACTAGATGTATCATATGACCTTAGATGTTAGGCCACTGCAACCCACGGTCTGGCAATGCGTACAGCTCTTACCAGTCGGTCTGCTGGTCATCGATAACCAGGAGGATCTTGGCACTGCTGGAGACTCCTGCCCGGTCCGCTGCCTCAGATAAGGTCGCAGCGGCAGCAGCTGTGGTCTGTTTGACAGCATGGGATATGGATGAGAAGAAGCCTCCACCTCCACCGCTAGACTGCTGCTGACTGGCCGACTGGCGCCTCTCCGATGGCCCCGGCGACACTGCAGGGCTTTGCTGCGGCGGGTCGGGGCGTTGGAGATCGGCCATGTAGCCATTGGGCAGGTTGGACATGAAATTGCTGTCCGAGAGTCGTCGACGTAGGTAGTTCATGATGAGGACTTGTTAAAATGACGGCGAGATTGGTCCAAATATCCTCCCACAGAATGTGATTTACAACTTGGTGAACGGTAAGAAAATTAAATGACTAGGCTACTTTCCCATGTGCAGAAAAGGGGATTACCTAAAGAGAACCAGGTTTTGTGTTGTTAGTTAGAAGCCCATTTTCTATCTGATCACAATGGTAAGAAATCGTGACTGTGTAGCTTAAGGAACTGGCAAAGGTAAAGGAAATCATTACACAGCCTTTAGCTGGAAAAAAAACTGGTCCACTCGACTAACCAAAATAATTCGTTTGTACACTTACATGTGATGCTTTTCGGTAATAACCCTATAGTCATCTGTAGCAAACATAACAAGGCATAATCAAGCCTACTGTACCTGGGAGTGTGTCCAAACTGATCCGCCCCAATGAGGTGATGATTTCTTCTTATTATTTCTCACAGGAAAGCTTGCATATAGATGACACTCATGTCCTCCGTGCGTGCGAGCAGGCCGTGCATCGGGCTTGGACCTGTCAAATTAAAGCTATAGTCCTCCTTGCATCACCGCTGTTCGCCCCGTCCTCCCCCTCAAGCCCCAGGTTTTTCCGTCTGCCCTGCGTCACTCCCAGTCGTCCTGGGGGAAAGGAACCTGCAAGGCTGGACCAGTGTCAAGTTAGGCAGTGTTCCGTACAAGACTTCCGGGAGTTGCTTTCAAAATAAACACAGGCCATTATTGATGTTACTGGATTTTTTTAAGCCTTATAAAATGTACATCATAAGGCCCAAATAACACAAATAATTTGAGAATGTAAATAAAAAAATTCACTTCCAATTAAAGGGGAATGCAATTCTCTTTGACAATTTTCAATGGGTTTTTTATTATAGTAGCGTGTCCATTACGCATCATGCGGAGCATTTGATTCTAAAACTGATACCGTTATCTGCAGTGTTGATGTTAATATGTGTAGTGTATTTGCCAGTGGTTCACAGCTGACGGGAAATCAGCAAGCATTTTGATTTAGGCTACTGTTTCCATCAAGTTCAAATACCAACTATTTGCCAGATCCAGCTTTTAACCTTTGGCTCTGGGGACTGAAATTATAAAAATTTTTTAGTTAGAGCTTTAATCAAAGTAATCTATATTTAAAGCAATAAAAGAACATTCTTAAACTTCCTGTTCAGCCTGTGTTGGTCTGACTTGACGCAGCTCTGTGATGGGATACCAGGGTGGTGCCGATGAGAGCAGTGTAACAAGGGTGTCGCTCTCCGCCAGACATGAGCCTGCTGTCGAATCCATGGGGTGCATATGGGTGTTGGTGTGATATTTGGGTGTCAGGCCACTTAGACATGGTATTACTTTTGATTTTCAGCAGTTAACAGAGATTGTGAGAGATGCGCCATCTGTTGGCGATACCCAGACCCAGGGATCAACACAGACCCCTGGGAGCCCTAGGCCCTACTATGGAAACTGAACTGTGTGATGGTAACGGAGCAGTGTTTATTACGAACACAGCTGCTGGTGTACCTGAATCATAAATGTCTGATAGAGATAGGAACTATTTTAACTCTATAGTCACATGTTAGCCTATCAACAAATAGCTTCTTTTATGCTGCCAGAATGAAAAATAATGAAAATACATATTTAAGTGCTGCTGTTATTAAGTCATGAAACAGGTTTTGTTCCAGTTTGCGTGCTTGTTAACAATGATAGCACGTGTGTAGGACATTTGTCCTGAAAATAAAATGTGTAAAGATTTTTTTTCTGCACATGTAATTTATATTAAATGATAAAACTTATGTTCAGGCAATACCACTTCTGAATGCACCTCAATAGCAGTTGCTGTGGATATAGATGATGGTGAGAATATCTTCACTCAGAGAGCAGTAAAAAACCCTCTATAAACCTAAATATCTACTTTGCATGTTTCTTTAAGTATTTGTTGATTTACACTTTAGGATATCTGTTTTATTATCATTATTTACAATGACCAATACTGGTCACTGATAGCTTTTTATTAGGTGTTATACAGATTTAAACACGAAGGCAGTATAAACACACTCAAGACTTAACATACACTGAAACAATTACAGTCTCTCACATGGGAGTATTGCATGATCCTGAGGATTATGTCAGCAAGTGGATTATAAAGAGTGAAGCACCAATTCCTGTGTATTGAAACAAAATATGCTATTAGTTAAAAAAAACCACTAATATTCAATTAACTAAATAAAATTATGGATCTTCAAGCTTCAAACTAGTTTACTTTGTGCTGTGCAGTGATACTCATCTTTCTATTTCTATGCAAAGGGCAATTACATTTCTGTTAGCATAGTAGCACAGTCCATGCATTTTAAAATGTTAACACTGCATGGAATCTACAGTATCACTGAGCAAACCTGTTTGTCAGTTTAAGTATGTAGTTAACGCTATACAATCAGAATCCCTTGCCCCTTTTACTTGCCCCTTGCATGGGGATATGTACGTGCACATTGAGAGCTGATGTACCAGAGTCAAATTCCTCGTGTGTCTGACACATCTGGCCAATAAAGCTGATTCTGATTCTTCTTCTAATGCTATACAATTCTTGACTAATGTTACTGCAGTGTATGACTTAGGGGGGCAGTGTTGAGCTTAAATCAAAACCAATGTAAGACTTTTTATTATACATGTATTAATAGCAAGATCTTTGATTGTACCATTTTTCTCATTTTTGTACCACTATTGTCTAGCAGATGCTATCATGCTGTTAGGACAATAATTACAATAACTGAAACTGATTACTATATCAATATAGATAGATAGATAGATAGATAGATAGAAGCGGTACCATTTTAAAATAAATTTTCAATGTGTTAAAGAATTCTCAAACCATATTAATTATCCTCTTTTTTCCGATTTTTTCCCCAGCGGTACCAATGTCACATACAGTCTGAGTGAGTGGCCTACAAAGACTTTGTATGTGTGGCCAAACTCTCCTGTATGCTCAGGCATACTGACACTGTTCTCATGGCAGCAGCATTTTCAAGACTTAGGAGTCTTTGTGTTGCCTTCAACAAAAGCCTTTGGATTACTGGTGAGACAGGCTCACAGTACAGCTGTGTGCGTGTAAAGGCAGGTCAGTGGAATGACTGGAGCTTCGGTGGGCTAAGTACTCAAAAAAATGCAGTTTGGTGAGATTTCAGATTAGGGGAGAGGGAAGGGAGAGGGACAGGTGCTAACTCTATGGGGGGAAACAAAAGTCATACTTCTCTTTGTTCATGTCTCAGGGAGGAATCAAGATATCTTCCAGAAAAAAGGGTTGAATAAAGCAAACCTATATCTAAATCAGTGTGGACTTTGTGGTGCTATATGATATTTAGCAAATTCATTGTCTTCTTTTTAGACCCACAGTACCTGTGAACACATTCAGCCTGTAAGACAATAACAGCACTGAGTGAATGAAGGCTTCTAATTGGCCCAGACAGTAGCCAATCTGAATGCATGGAATGAGTCACAGGGAAGCCAGTGCACCTATCTTCTCTCACCTGATACTTTACCTGGGTGAGCTCAAACCCTGCTTCTCATTACCTTTCCAATACAATTTATAACTGAGGCACACTGTATCCTGTAAACTGCACCAGCCAAGGTGTCCCTCTGTATTTAGCCTCACTGAGACACAAACAAGGAGCCATGGCTGTGGCTAATTTCCAGTACATTACTCGGATGAGCAGTGGCTTTAAGGTCTACATCTTAGAAGGTAAGCTTGATTATTGCTTTTCTTTTATTGCCTCATGTTGCTGGACCATGAATTCTTGCACCCTGAGAAGTGGAATAAGTCTCTGTATGGTTATGCTAAACATTTAGTGTTATATATTTATATGTTTGGCTCTTATGTATGACAGTTTTATATATTACATTGGCATTTAAGTTGTTCTGTGCAAGATGAAATGGAAAGAATCAGGTGTAAAATGAAAGATATACACTAACAATAATATTAAACCTTTGAAATATATTTTGTGAAATATGTTTAGCATTCATGTCGTAATGAAGATAAGTAGCTGAAACCAATTTATAATAACCAATAAAGGATTCACTGTGAACATGTTTTGGCATTCCAGGTTCTCAAGATTGAACAAAGTTTTGGTAAACTGTCTTGGCACTCTCACCTCTGCTGTTGAGACACCATAAAATTGAATGGAAACATAGTAAAGAAGAAGGTCAGGCAGCATATACACTCTGTTAATAATGAAGAAATATCCATGCCTGAGGCGTTAGAAAATCAGCATAGGTGTGGTTATACCTGCCCCCCCACCCCTGACAATGGCAGTCTGTGTGAAGGAGAAGCTCACAAGTGCTGGAGTGTCTAGCCAGTAGGAAATGCGGATTGGAGCAAACAGTTTGAGTGTGAAAACATTGTGAACAACCTGCTTACATGTAAAACATTGAATTCAGTGAGATGGTAGATGTCATTGTGAGTGGGTAGTTTCCTGACTGACTGATTTGAATATAAAGGACTCCCACTGTCACATTTTCAAGTGTTAGCTGTGCATACAGTCAAACAAATGGCCACAGTGTGATCATGCTGCCATTACATTTTTAAACAATGCTTTGTGTTTTGACTGTATGCATGACTGTTTTGAACATGTGAGCTTGTTGATGATTGTTGACAAGAGCAAACTGGTCTGGTTCAGATTCACTCCAATTGCTTTGGATTTAGTAAGTAACAAACCTGCATTTACAAAACCACTGCGATCTCCATATCATAACTTTAACTTACTGTGCACTCCTTTTATTCAACACTTCAGTGACATCATGAGCTTCTTGTTGATGTGTTTCAACTTGTGCTGTTACAAAAATCCAGTGAGTGAGTGTGCGTGTGTTCAACTTGATGGCCCTTAACAAACGGGTGCCGCCCAAATCAAGGTCCTAAAAGCCATTGGATGTGTGGCACCTCATCATAACACTGTGCCCTTTTGACTGTGTGGTAGAATGCCAACGTTCAGCAGAAAAACAACATTTACCGTTAGCAGTGAATCATGTAGTTGGCGCTGTGAAGTTTTGTAATCCTCACCGATCAGGTAGATCGAGTTTTACAGCTTAACGGAGTTTACAATTAACGGTGACAAAAAAGGTTTCCCACGAATTGCAGTCATGCAGGTTGATGTCGTGTATCAAAACAAGCAGTTACTCATCAGTGAGTGCCACACACTATTTACCATTATCACTGTACTGTAGTAAAATCATCAGTCCCACTATATGGTCACTTGTTTTACTGGATTTATTTGTTCCAGCAAAAAAAGTTATGGCCAAAATATCTGTAATTGTATTTTAAAGCATCTTATTGTTATTCTGTATTTTATTTTTGTTTTTTAGGTCAACCCCACCTCAGAAGTGAAGACAGATACAGACATATCACAAACGACCGGGTTCGAGCCCCAACAGTGTATCCAGTGAAACGCAAGCGCAGCTATGACAGAGGTCTGACATTGGAGGAAAGGTTGGAGAAACTTATTCATGCCTCCAGTCATATTTCACCACTAAAAGCATGATTTATTACATGCACATTTTGTCAAAGAGATGTGACATTTTCTAATGAATAATAATTTCAGACGAGAGCGAGCGCTGAGCAGAAGCAGTGGTAAAGCTGCCCACAGAGCAGCACCAGCACCAGCTGTGTTTAACAGTCCACAGAGCCCCTCACCTACCTGGAGTCCAACACCCAGCCCTACCAGCTCCCTGCCCACCCATGTGTACTACGCACCAGTCATGGATGAACCCCTCGCTCTCATCAAGAAACCAAGAAAAGACCCAGATAACACAGAGGAAAAGCCTAAAAGCACTGCTGCCGGTCAAATCCAGGTAATTTACCAAAAAACAAGTACTGCTTGTGTCATCAACATGTTCAGTGTTATTTTCTCAAAGATTAAGAATTCTTATAGGTCATAACTCATGAAAAGTGGCAGCATTGCATTGCATGTCCTTTTGTTGTCTCAGTGTAGCTCCAGGCTACTCACTGCAGTGGTGCATCTCCCATCTGTAGTCACTGAATCACACTGCACACGCATTCTACTTCTAAGAGAGTATACGCGCCTAAGCTTGTCCGAGCTATGCAATCCAGCCAGATTCAGGAAGAAAATGTGAGCAATGGAGGGAGGAATGCCATCAACAAGACTAAACAAACTGCTCTCTCCATGAAATGTTTATGCCGCCACACTGGGAGTGAGCTGACTGACATAAGCAAACCCAACCAGTTTAATTGGTTTTCAGCTCATTTTGTTTTGGTGAACTGTTCAGGCGATATAAAAAAAAAATACAGGTTTTGTGGGATGAAGAGTAAACACAAAGTAGGGTTACTGGGTTATATAGGCAGACATACAGTAAGTCCCTTTCTTTTGATTTAATTAAAGACCTATATCTTGTTCTTTTGTTGTTTCAGATGCGTCCATCTGTGATCACATGTGTCTCCTCATTAAGAAATCCATCCTGCAGATCTGAGGTCCACAGAAGCCATTCATCAGGTTAATCTCACACTCTTGTGATTAAGCTCACTCGCCAGACAGTCACTCCCTAGTCATCACACATGTATCATAATGTAGATAGCTGCTCACTTTTACTGACTCACTAAGGTGTGTATTTGATGTCTATCATCCATTCTTTTCTAGTGATTTCCAAAAGCAGCTACGATCATGTGGTGGAGGAACATTTCCAGAGGAGCCTTGGTGTGAACTACCAGAAAGCTCGGCCCCAGCAGCTCTCCATCAGCGTGTCTGTTGATGAGCACTTTGCCAAGGCTTTGGGGGACAAGTGGCTTCAGCTTAAATCCAAGTCTTCCTCCTGTTCTTCCACACCTCCCAGCAGTCCAAGTGTTACTCACTCCCCCACCTACAGCCACAGTCCAAATCAGTCCCACAAAGAGTCTGCCAGCAGCTCATCGCCAACTTCAAGCCGCTGGTCTGTCATTTAAAGCAAAAAATTACCTCTGATATGGGAGGAAACTGGACTTTTAACATTTCACTGCGTGCAGCTCTGTTTGGATGAAAATGCCAGAGCTTGTGTTAAAAGAACGAGCTAACAGATGCAAAAGTGCTGTCACACTTTTGGACCTCCTTGTGTCCAGATTTAAGGCACATTGATGCAGATGAATGTAGCATGAATCCTTCTTTTGTTACATTTCCATCCCGTTTGTCAATAGCATCTGAATACCTAAGATACTGTAGATGGTGATGTGGGATGAGTGAAAAATCAGCCAAATAATCCTTTACATTTCTTTGATTTTGTGTCATTCTTTTATTGCAGCCTGAATGCCACAAGTTCGTTGTATTATATTTATATACTGATTTGCCCAGGTTCCTTATAGTCTAAATGACTAGCCTATCCACTATATAATATTATGCTTATAAGATGTAGACAAACTAGAGAGATGTGAAAATAAAATAAAAATCTTAAAATCCTTATACTTTTGTGCATTTGTAATTTCTAAAAGCATATAAGAATGTTAAAAAGAAAAGCAACACAATGGATCACAAATTAAAACTTTATTATTTAAAAAGAAATAAAACTCTTTTAAACTTGAAGATCATGAACTCATGGATACCTTGTAAAAATCACACAGGGTGGTGCACCAGACAATCTAATTTCATTAGTGAGTCAATGTGTGTCTACAGCTGTTGCCACATATTGGGGGGAAATTAAAAGGATGTATGAGCAACAGATTCAGGACTTTTTCCCGTAAGTTTGAGAGAATGTGAAAGTGCATGTTGCAGCAGGCACCAGGCCTTGTGCTCTGACATTCCTGTCTCCTGAGAAAATGACTCTGTAAGATCCTACAAATCCTGTTTGGCAAGGGATAGGAGGGAGGGAAGTGGGGAAAAAAGGGTTGGGCTAATATAGGCCTGAGCATGAGAACCAGCCTGAGCTCTTCAGTTACTTATTTGCATGTCATATCTTGTCCAACTTTAAATATAATATGCAACATAAAAAAAATCCAAAGCCTGTGTCTTTGAAATTACAGAGTTGGTAAGCTTTACAGAAGTGGGAAATAAGATGAATGTTTTGATGAGCTGAACATCTTGGGGAGACAGCTCTAAATCAAGAGCGAGAACAAGGAAAAATGTTAATTAAATGTGATTTTACAGTAATATAGTTAAGGTAAACCACTGAAATGTATATCGCCAGTGCCTTGTTTGAGTTAGGCCATCTGCAGATACAACCTTAAAATCCACTGTACATTAGCATAAAGTTCACATCAAACAGCTCTCACAGCAAATACATACATACAGGAGTAAACAGTGTCCAAACTGCTGATCGTTATTTGTCCTCATTAAGTGTTTAAACTGGTATTTCCACATGAAGTATGTTCATCAGCCAATGTAACCTGAACAGGGGCATTGATGCCATCTAGAGGCCCTTAGGTAAAGTTTAAAAAGCTGATGCTACTGGTGACAACATGTGCTGTGCATCCAGCAATGTGATGCACAGCACCAATGCTGCAGGTAAACATGCTGTTAACTGACAGATCTGGCTTGACAGAGTGGATTTCTCTAATCCAAAATAATATAAAATATAATTGTTTGAGCACAGCAGTCTATATTAGTAATTGTTTTGCACCAGATATGTTTAGAAGGTTCCAAACTTAAATTTTAGGATGTTCAATTATTTATCTCCTTATAAATACTCTGCATTTGATACAGTAACCATATTATATGCAAGTTTACTTCCTATTAGATAAAATAAATATGTTCAATTACTGGGCACAGTTGATTATCACAACTATGTTGTAAATGGCAGTTGGGAAATACACAACGTGGCCATGAGAATGTTAAAAGCAAACCTTCTCATGGTGCCACAAAAAATGCACTTTGTTGTTAGAGGATAATTACAATCTTGAATACCTCAAACATGGCAGAAAACAGCATTTATCTCAATTTACTGTGGCAGTGGTAATTAAGTTTACATCAAAATACCAAAGATTGGCCAACCCTTCTGGGAAAGTTCTCGCACTTTATCTGGTCTGTCAAAAGTTAGATCACTATCAACAAATCTTAAAGCATTTTGTAAATAATTCAGATTACAGATCTAATCAGCTGAGAACATGATTGCATGGGATGGCTGGGGTGTTGTGTTTGAGTCTTTTTGAAAATCCATCCTCCTTGTATTAAAACAATCAGAGACAACTATTCAAGATAATTGTTTATTGGAAATTGGAAAAGCAGCAACTACCCAGAATCAACATATAAATCTTAAATGCAGAGATACTCTTTTGTTATTCAGTATGCAGGCCAAACATTTTTATACTAATTAGGTTTTCTGTACCCTGTACCTTAGAATCAAGGAAAGAGAGCTTTGAATACAGGTTTGGGAGGCTTAACTCATCCAGCCACACATTCTACTGACGAGTGTGGAAAATTTATTTATGGGTTTTGGTCCTGTCTTTCACTAGTTAATCTTTGATCTTCATTCTCTCTTCTGTCTCTGGTCTCTGTAACACATTAATTTCATCCACTGACTGCTGTGTTTAGAATATTACTAGTGGATGTCATGTATCTGATCTTCCAAGAGAACCATGCAGCTATCAAAAAGGATGTGTCTATTACAATTTATAAAATAGATATAAACTGGAGGGCTCAATACAGTACATGGACATCATTTCTGGCTTATGTAAAGCAATTAAAGAAACTGCCAAACTTTCTTATTTGTTTCAATAGTAGTGTTTTAACTGTACAGATGTATGTGACACACTTGATATGATGTGAGCTGTGCTGTAGTCCAGTATGTACAACTATGTACGGGCACAGAACATACAGTACATGTCTATGTAAAGTACAGTGCAGGATTTTTCCATACCCCTTTCTTGCCTTCCATTATAAATAGCTATCATGTGGTGCAGGTTCAAAGTGGACTGACGACTTCTGCCCCCTTTGCATTTCATTTCGGAAGATCACAAGTCACTTCCATTTGGACATCACATGCTTTGGAGAGGTCAAAATATTCCATGTGGGTAGCATTTCTGAGCACAGCTTAACTTGTCAGACATCATGCCCAAAGTACATCATCCAGCAGGCACTAAATAAATGAGTAATGAAGAGGAACTTATCAGCAGATCTTTAAGCATGCTAGCATTTCTGAGAAGAATCAATTCTGCTGACGCTGAAGATGGCCTAATGCTTTAGTGGAGTATCTTCATAAATGGTGGATAATGGGGTGGTCATCTCAAGATGTTGAGTCACTCTAAGCTGTCCATGGTGTTCCTCATTTTAAACTTCTTGTAAGTTAAATTATACATAGTATTCAAATTATGGCCATGATTATATAAAAATAATAAACACACTGTGGCCTGAAACATTTCTGTTCAGGAACAAGAAGATGCATTTGGGTAAAACAATAAGCATTTGTGTTTCTCCATTGATGTTTAGGGGAACACATAATTTGGGGATTTTGAGGCATTTTCTGTACAGAAAAGCAACATTATCAAAATCAGCTGTAATTATTTTGCCCCTGTCAACAAGCCAGCTAAACATTAGCTCTAGGCAGCATTGGTCTCATGACTCATGCATCCACATGACCGTAGAGGCGTGTACTGAATTAATATATAAGCCAGCCTCCAACAGAAGCCTGCAAACATTACAGGCTGCAGCCACACACCCCTCTCCTGACAGCTGCTAATAAAGTCCTTTCATTTTGCATAAAGCTTGCTGGCTGGTTCCCACCTGATAAGAGAACACAGGAGGTGCAGTGGACACAAAGACACAGTGGAGAATTTCCCCCCAGGTCTCACATGTGAGTATCAGCTTTTTCTTTTTATTTTGTCTCACTTTCCTTTTTCACTTGCATTTTTTTCTGTTGTTCTATTTGAATTATGCGTGAGCAGCTAAGGGGATTAACCTACCATTATTTTCTATACTGATTGCTGACAGTGCAAAATAGGTCAGTTGTTCACGTGTAAAGTACCTTTTTTTAAATAATTACGTGTATTTATTTGTGAGTTTCACTGTGTGATGAGTTTTAGGGGCTACTATTACGATGTAGTGCTCACTGTGCACCTGTTGCATAATTAATGAAACTGTTATGAGGTCAAGTCAAAGAATAGTCTAATTACTACAGAGATACATTTCATTTCATAAATGGACTTTATTTAATTAAGTGTTAGCTATTAACGATGCAATATGTTAGAAAATCATATTAAAACACCCGAAAAGATTTTTTTTTTTTTTAAAAATGCAAGCGCAGTGAGTATACTCCTAAGTACATGGCGGTCTATGTCTTAAATGAATCTCAGTGGAAATGATGAACATTATAACAACACTGAGAACATGTTTACATGACCAACCATTAAAATATGACCGTGTTTCCATTTAGGACACATTAATACTTAATATATATCAATATCTCCCATATACTGTATATCACATAATATATGAAGTAGCCTAATTCCTGTTTTTGTCATGAAAATATAATGTTATGAATATCCCAAAGTGCACTGCTCTTGAAGATGCATTATGAGCTCAGACACAGACCCCAACTCACATTATTATTAATTCATCTCTCCACAGCCTCCTGCTCAATCAGATAACTCTTAGGTAATGTTATGCTCAAGCAATTTTAGGCCAACCTTGAATGCAGCTCACATCAGTAATGACTTATTACTGATATAAAACACTTCCCTCTGCAGAGCTCACTAAATCATACCTTCGGAACAAAATGGTGCATGTTGTTTGTAGTTTGTTAATGTGTAACTTAGCTTTTGTTTATGCAGTTTTCAGGAATATTTACCACTAACTCAGGTGCTTGCGTGTTTTTTGCAGTGTGTATCATCAGACGCTCACTGTCACAATGGATGTCTCTCCCCCTTCTATACCCTGCCATTTTATGGTGAAGCCTACATATAAACACTGCATACCTAGCTAGCAATAAATTTTGCTTGCTTCCCAGTAGCACTTTTAGAACTCAAATATATTCTTTTTTTTATCATTTCTGTTGTACACAATTATTTATAAATATATATTACCTCATAAGCCACTACCAAACCACAGTATATGGTCTTGATTTAACTCTGATTATAACTTAAATTAACCTACAAGTAACCCAGTCATGGATACAACTACACTAGCAACTCTGGCCACTGCCACAACTGTGGCTCTAGCCTCTGATATGTCAGGCTACATGTGGCTGCTGGTGGTAGGCTTCATCATTGCCTTCATCCTGGCCTTCTCTGTGGGGGCCAATGATGTGGCTAACTCCTTCGGTACAGCTGTGGGGTCTGGGGTGGTCACCTTGCGGCAGGCTTGCATCCTGGCCACAATCTTTGAGACTGTAGGCTCAGTTCTGCTGGGGGCCAAAGTCAGTGAGACTATCAGACAGGGGATCATTGATGTCCGAATATACAACAGCTCCGAACACATCCTAATGGCGGGATCAATAAGTGCGATGTGTGGTAAGCATTCACTTATATACAGTACATGTTACATAAAAATTCCTTTGAAATTTCATTGAATGATGCATCAAAAATAAGATGACGACTACATCTGTCAAGAGAAACTCAGGCCTGGCTCATGTTTCTGTCCCACAGGCTCTGCTGTGTGGCAGCTGGTTGCATCATTCCTGAAGCTCCCCATTTCTGGAACCCACTGTATTGTTGGCGCCACAATTGGCTTCTCCATGGTAGCCAGGGGTCACCAAGGGGTCAAATGGATGGAGCTACTCCGCATTGGTGAATATATGCTGTTTCTTAAGTACATTTTAAATAAATATCTATTAAATATGAAATACTAGTTTAGGAAAAAGTTCAAGAATTAAGCTGTCTTTCAAATATCTTTTGCTATCCAAAGTGGCATCCTGGTTCCTGTCACCTGTACTGTCAGGCATCATGTCAGGAATTCTATTCTACTTTGTTCGCAAGTTCATTCTGAACAAGGTGAGATATTTCTTTCCAGTGTACATGGTCAATACATGTAATTTAAAGTCACCAGTGGTAGAAGTAGTATTCAGAACTTTTACATAAGTACCACCATATAAAAATACTCTAAGTAAAGGCCCTGACCTTAAAACTACATTTACTGAAAGTAAATGTACTAGCACAATGTACTTAAAGTATCAAAAGTAAAAGTTCTTGTTCTGTAAAAAAATGACTCATATTATATATTACTGTACATTATTAGTAACATTGCATAACATGGAAATACTCAAGTAAAATACAAGTATCTCAACATTGTACAATACTTAAATAGTTTGACATTTTGGATAATGTATTTATTTGATTTGTTGCTGAGAGTAAGATGAGGTTGATAATGTCATGTCTGTAAGTACTGTATATACGTAGCTGCTGTCACCAGCTGGCTAGCTTAGTTTTAGCATGTACAGTGGAAACAGGGAGAAACAGCTAGCCTAAGCTGCTAAGTTAAGTTAGCTGGCTGCTGTTTCATATTTACCATACAGATGTGACAATGACATCAGTCTCTATCTCTCAGCAAGAAAGAAAGATATTTTCCCAAAATGTAGAACTTCTCCTTAGAAACAGTATTTGAGTAAATGTGCTTAGACACAGTCCACATTCCATAAGGAGTTTTGCCATATATGACCCAAGGCATATCTTTGATTTCCACAGGCTGACCCTGTACCCAGCGGTCTCAGAGCTCTGCCAATCTTCTATGCTATCACTATGGGAATCAACCTCTTCTCCATCATGTTTACAGGAGCACCACGTGAGTACCATGTCCACACACTACACCAGTGCTTTTTTAAAGTCTTCCTTACTGCACTGCACTAACACAGCAGCTGCTGAAATCCCTGGAGCAAGATGAGATCTGAATAAATGTGTCACTGGAGACACAGAAGACAGTTGATGACAATCTTCTTAGGACAAAAGTAGGTGGGAAAAAATGAGGAGACAATTTTATGAATATAAAATCATTTGGGCATAAAGTCATTTTGGGCAGCATTTTTCCAAGCAAAAGAAACATTTCATGAAGTCCCTGGCACTTCTGTCAGGTCATCTACATTAACAATTAAAGGGCCAGCCAGTATTTGAAAACAGGATTAAAGCAATAAAACAGAACAATAATGAAATAAAATTAGTTGACTATGAATCTGAAAAAGATAAAAGTATTAAATGGAAAATTTCCACTCCTTTTTGTTTTATTTGCAGGGTTGAACTTATCAAGAAGTCAACCAGCTTGGGTCATTCACTGAAGGCTGCAGGCCATTGTGTGTGGGTCAAGAAATATGCAGTAACACACAATAATATATATACAGTAACACACCATAACTTCTGCTATGCAAAAATGACAGCATATTACAGCCGACTTCCAGTTCCAACATTTCTTGACACAGCGATAGAGAAAACCCTTTTGGTCATTTTCTTAAAAAAAAAAAAAGGGCTCTGCCTGCTGTATGCACAGCTGTGTACAGTATGCAATTATTTATAGCTATTGTGGCTTCACATCTAAGTTACTAAAGAAAACCACAGCTTTTATTGTGTGGCTTTTTATTTGTTGTCTACAGCAGCAATCAGATAAGTTGTGTCTGTAAGGGCAGAAGTAAAAAAAATGTCATACTAACTTGCAACAAGCCATTCTAATGCAGCAAGTTTTGCTATTCTGTGAAGTACTAAAGGATTGAAGTTACTAGAAGTGTTCTTATCACTCTGCTGCAAGACTGGCCACTGTTGCTATCTGACTGGAGGAGTGTGTACTCTCCTTGATACTGTTCTCTGCAAGAACACACTGAAATGCTGGAATGGGCTGTTGAGACATTTTGTACAAGTTTGAACTAATCACATGATCACAGATCATGAGACTGGAGGAAGTGTAGTTACCTTAGAAAAAATAATCACTTTTTTTAGAACTTTATATGATACCTTTTAGATGTTAGTATATTTCTAAAATTATACTGAGTGTGTAAGAATATGTAAGTACTAACATTTTTTTCTCTCACTAGAGATCAAAGGACCGCACAGCATAAGTTGTGAATGACTTAAAGAAACAGTTAAGTTTCTGTTTCTCTTCGTGTCCCTGTCTTGTGTGCACAGTGCTGGGTTTTGACAGAGTGCCATGGTGGGGTACACTGTGTGTGACGATTGGCTGTGCCTTCGTCACAGCTTTGATCGTTTGGTTTGTTGTCTGTCCACGCCTCAAGAAGAAAATCAAACGTGGGTAAATTGCAAACTTTCAGACATTTATTCACAAATGCATTTTGAATAAAAACAACTTTGTTTACATAAAGTTTACGTTTACACTACAGTTCAGGACTGTAGTGTGCCCAGCATTAAAACAAACAAACAAACAAAAAAACTAAAAAGTTATTTTGAAACTACACATAATGTATATTTCTTGGGTGGCTAAGAGAAATGACAAAAGGTTTTACTATTGCTATTTTTCTATAAATAGCATATAGATTTTTTTTTTGCACAGATGCACAGACAAGCTTGTATTAGTATTACAATATAGCGTACTTGGTCTAAGTTGAACACTGCAATGTACTTCAGGACACACAGCTGCTGCTCCCTGTGAAACTCCACTGATGGATAAGAACTCCAGAAAACCTGCCCTAGCAGAGCAGACCTCAATACTTTGTGACCCTGATCCCCAGACCCCTACAGCAGTCAGTCAGAAGGTGGCTTTCAAACTCGGAGGCTCAGAGGAAACTGATTTGGACACCAAGGACATGGAAACCAAAGACTTGGATGTCAGCAGTGGTGAGACATGAATGGCTTGAAATGAATTACCTAACATCTGAGTATGAAGGCTTAAAAATATTTGATCTCAGTGGTTAAATTCACAGAGATGTGCCCACAGGTAATTGTGACTATGTCCACCAATTAAATTACAACAAACAATTTTATTCACAGGTCTGAACGGCACTGTTGGCACCATGGTGATCACTGATCCGCACAGTGGGCGGTCCCACACGATCCACAAAGACTCTGGCCTTTACAAAGACCTGCTACACAAGCTCCATATGGCCAAGGTTGGTGACTGCATTGGTGACAGTGACACAGAAGAGCGGCCCATCCGGAGGAACAACAGCTACACCTCCTATACCATGACCATTTATGGCATCCAAGGAGATCCTAAATACAAGGACCTGGATGGTGGAATGCAGAGGAGATCCAGGGTGGACAGTTCGTGCAGCTCCAGCTCAGTGGCGAGCAGCAGGTCTGCAGTCCAGGACTGTACTGTGCCTCAGGAAACTAGCAGTAACGTTGTTCTAGAGGAGGATGAGCTGGAGGTTGACCAACCAGCTATTTCCTTGCTTTTCCAGTTCCTGCAGATACTCACAGCATGCTTTGGCTCCTTTGCTCATGGAGGGAATGATGTCAGGTAGGCAAGGGTAGTTTTCTTCCCAGAAATGTATTTACAGTATGTGCATTTACATAAGTATTTTTTTTTCCATCACTAGCAATGCAATTGGTCCACTGGTTGCTCTCTGGCTTCTGTATGAGAGTGGCTCTGTGGTATCCAGTGCACCAACACCTATCTGGTTGCTTCTGTATGGTGGAGTGGGCATCTGCACCGGACTTTGGGTATGGGGCCGGAGGGTGATGCAAACCATGGGCAAAGACCTTACCCCCATTACACCCTCCAGGTTGGTGCATATTTAAATCCTACAGCAGTTAAAATTCTAATGTGTATTATAAACAAATCTTACTAACAATTTTCTTTCAATTTAGCGGATTCAGCATTGAACTAGCTTCAGCAATCACAGTTGTTTTGGCATCCAATATTGGTCTTCCTGTCAGCACAACCCACTGCAAGGTAACAAAACTTAGAAGCCTGATAACTTAACCCAAATAGATGCATGTGATAATCAACAGCAGGTTCAGCTTTGAGTGGGTGTTCTAAAAGAACTACAAGTTCTCAATGGCACTTTTGCTGATTAACTCTCATATCACAGGTAGGATCTGTGGTGGCTGTGGGATGGCTGCGCTCCAGAAAATCAGTTGACTGGCACCTGTTCAGAAACATCTTCATTGCCTGGTTTGTTACAGTTCCTATCTCTGGGCTGATCAGTGCGGCCATCATGGCTCTCTTCATATATGTTATTCTGTGAACCTCCCACTGTTCATCTATGCTCTTACTTCAACAAAAATGACCACTACCAGCAGTTATTGTTTGACTGACTCAGTGTGTTCTATATTAATTATGTTTGTTACATAGTCAGTGTCTCTTCAAGGTCAAGCCAATTACATCTCACAGGAATTTGTCCATGAATGATGTAGGATCTAGTAACACTGTTCAAAGAGGTCTGTGATCCTGTGTATTCCTATGTATATTTGTATAAATGCAATAAAAATCAAATAGTTCAGTTTTGGCTAACAAAAAAAAAGGACCAGCTATATTATTTATATTTATTGTGTATTTGGATATAATAAAAAGGTGTTGCCTGATTTTAAGGGATTCAACTTATATTGCTCACTATTAACATTTCCCACTGAATGCTATTTTGTGTGAATGTGGAAGGGATGCAAAAACACCAGTATGACTTACAACTTCAATTGATGACAAAAATTCATTAACAAATGATATAAACACATGGTTTATGACCTATTCACCCCATGTTTTCATGCACAGTCTTGAGGGAAAATAAAGTATTAATGCTTTTCTCAATGGTTTCATCATTTACACCTGTACTTTAAAGTGGCACTAACTAACTTTCACCCTCTAACTTTCAACTGTTAAGGGTGAAGTGAGAGTCAAAATAAACTGAAACAGTAGCCCCTCCTCTTCTCCCTCCACTCCTCTTTGCCCCTCTTGCTCTGTCTGTGAAGCTACAGTGCCTTGCAAAAGTATTCATAACCCTTGAGCTTTTCCACATTTTGCCACATTACAACCACAAACTTAAAAGTATTTTATTGGGATTTTATGGAATAGACCAAAACAAACTATTGCATAATTGTGAAGTGGAAGGAAAAGGCTAAGAGTTTTTTTTTTTTTTTTTTCAAATAAAAATCTGAAAAATGTGGCATGCATATGTATTCAGCGCCCCTGAGTCAATATTTTGTCGAACCGCCTTTTGCTGCAATTACAGCTGCAAGTCTTTTGGGGTATGTCTCTATCAGCTTTGCACATCTAGAGACTGCAATTTTTGGCCATTCTTCTTTGCAAAATAGCTCCAGTTCAGTGAGATTGGATGGACAGCATCTGTGAACAGCAATTTCCAAGTCTTGCCACAGATTCTCAATAGGATAGGTCTGGACTTTGACTGGGCCATTCTAACACATGAATATGCTTTGATCTAAACCATTCCATTGTTGTTCTGGCTGTATGTTGAGGGTCATTGTCCTGCTGGAAAGGGAACTTCCACCCCTGTCCCAAGTCTTTTGCAGCCTATAACAGGTTTTCTTCCAGGATTGCCCTGTATTTAGCTCCATCCATCTTCCCATTAACTCTGACCAGCTTGCATCCCCACAGCATGATGGTGCCACTACCATGTTTCACGGTGGGGATGGTGTGTTCAGGCTGATATGCAGTGTTAAGTTTTCTGTCACACATAGCGTTTTGCATGCAGACCAAAAAGTTCAATTTAGGTCTCATCTGACCAGAGCACCTTCTTCCACATGTTTGCTGTGTTCCCCTACATGGCCTGTGGCAAACTGCAAACGGGACTTATTGCTTTCTTTCAACAATGGCTTTCTTCTTGCCACTCTTCCATAAAAGCTAGACCTGTGGAGTGCATGACTAATACTTGTCCTGTGAACAGATTTTTCCACCTGAGCTGTGGATCTCTGCAGCTCCTCCAGAGTTACCACGGGCCTCTCGGCTGCTCCTTTGATTAATGCGCTTCTTGCCCGGCCTGTCAGTTTAGGTGGACAACCATGTCTTGGTAGGTTTGCAGTTGTGTCATATGCTTTCCATTTTCAGATGATGGATTGAACAGTGTGCCGTGAGATGTTCAAAGCTTGGGATATGTTTATATAACCTAACCCTGCTTTAAACTTCACAACTTTATCCCTGATCTGTCTGGTGTGTTTCTTAGTCTTCATAATGCTGTTTATTCACTGATGTTCTCTAATAAACCTCTGAGGCCATCACAGAACAGCTGTATTTATACTGAGATTGAATTACACACAGGTGGACTCTATTTACTAATAAGGTGACTTCTGAAAGGAGTTGGTTGCGCTGGATTTTATTTAGAGATTTCAGAGTAAAGGGGGCTGAATACATACAGTATGCATGTCACATTTTTCAGATTTTTATTTGTAAAAAATCTTGAACACCACATATCATTTTCCTTCCACTTCACAATTAGGTGATATTTTGTGTTGGGTCTAACCAATAAAATCCAAATAAAATATATTTGACTTTGTGTTTGTGACAATAAATTCAAAGTAGAATTTTTTTAAAAATTTTTTTAAGAAGACTCCTGTAAAGTAAACCTGAAACTGTACTTATCCCTTATCTTCTTTTTTACCTGTGAAAAAAAACCCCGATTCATACCTACCTGTGCCATTTGCCTCGATATCTGTCTAGGTTGCCTTCAATGTCCTCGTACATTCCGCTATCTACTGTGTCCACCTCCATTTTTCCCCTCCTGTTAGGTCTAGACATGACTAGACAAACTCCAGAAAGATGAAAACACAAAACACCCAAACAATACAAGCACAATGTTAAATATTAAAGATAAACATACAGTACAAACACCAGAAAAGATGAAAACAAGAACATTTAAACATTATAATCACAATGTAACATATCAAAGATTAAGGTAAGCATACGCTACATCAACAGTTACCAGACAAACTTTATGTTACAAGAAAATGCACAAAATAAAGAT